GACTTGTCACGAAAACCGAGCTTCGCTGCCACACCCTGAAACGCAAATCCCAATGGCACGGCCACATCCAACACCCCAAAAACACGACTCTCCAAACGTTAATCTCAATGGAACTGCGCAGCAAACTGCAGATCTCACAAAACGCTGCGCCTGTGCAGTGAAATGCATCACGTTTCTTGCGCGACATGTCCTTGTCATGCAAATCCCAATGGAATAGCGGCGCAAACTGACACGTGACACGTCCATGCAAAGTCACTTGCAAAAGCTTCCCCCAATGGCAGCAAATTTGAGACGCGACGACGACGACAGACGACGACAAACGACGACAAACGACGACACGACGCAAGCCATGCAAACACAGCTCCAACCCCCAGACCCCCAACTATAAACGGGAACCCTTCGCTACGCATTCGGGAAAAAACTATATAATCTAATATATAATCCACTGAGAAGAGACCATAAGGTAGAAACTTCCGATGGATGCAATTGACCGAGCTCTCGGATCGCTTAAACTAAGGGTGAACTCTCCTTACCATGGAATCTTCTCAAAAGCCAAGGGAGAGCTGGGTAAAAGCCATCGGGAATAAAGTGGATTTCGGGCCGGCCCAGTTCTCTCGTCGTTCCCCGCCCTTCGCAAAGTCTTGGAGAAACCACCTCTTGCCACATGGGCGGGCTCGGAGCTGTCCTAATGGCATCGAAGGGACGCTCCAGGATCAGCAAGACTTGAGCCATCTGCCTCGGTGATGCTCAAGCCGACTTTGGCCCTGCCATGGGTAGTGGGGAAAGACTCATTGGAGACTGAGCAGATCAAAAAGGGTGAGCTATCTGACGGCCGAAGCATTCTCGCAAAAGCAACAGCTGAGCAATCGACAAACCTCCCACACCAAACCCCTTACAACGCCCTCCTATCCTATCCCATCACCCTGTTGGCCAAGAAGCTCCAATATGGGCGCCTTCTCACAAGGATCATCAGTGAAGAGCAAAGCTTCCTCCCAGTGCTGCAGTGCCTGAGCAGCAGGTGTGCTGTGACTCAGTTTCTCTCTCTCTCTCTCTCTGCTTAGCCGGGCACCAAGAAGGTTGGAAAGCAGTTACGTATATAGTTATATAACACACCAGAAATCAATGAGGTGTACCTCTTGGGGGAAGTGAAAGACATCTAGAGAAACATGAAGTCAAGTCAAAGTCAAGTCAATGACTGCTTGAGTCTTCGCAAGCCGTTCAAGCATCTCCCCACGACTGCTCCGCCCACGACTGCTCCGCCTCTGCATAGCGCTCCGCCTGCGCCAAGACGCTCCCCTCGGAGCGAAGCCTGGCCGAGGCGTCCGGGAGGTCAGCAGACTGGCCCATGGGGTCGAAGCCGCGAGGGCGTGAGAGTGGGGATCAACATGGATCAACCGCTTCAAAAATGGGTCCTAGAACTGGTCCCAGAACTGGTCCGATGGTCCAAGATGAGAACTCCTTCGAAGGCGGGCCCGATCGCCCAGGTGCAAAAGAAGAACTTCCCCCAACGCGAGGTGTGAGCAAGCCTCCAACTCACGTGCGGATGTCTGTTTGGTCTTCCGCCATGCATCGTTTCCCAGGGGTCGTGCTGCATGCTGCTGTATCCATTCCAATGTGATTTGCTTTTTGCCAGCATAGATGCGTGTGGGTCAAACCCCCATGCTTTTTGGCACACCAACATAGATGGATGTGACATTATCCGTTCCCCCACAAAATGGTTCAACCCACCAACAGCCTGCCCTCACTTCTTCCTGGGTGGGCTTAGAAGTCCCCCCGAAGTGCGAAGCAATACCCCAATCCCCACAATTTGTAGGAAACGTGACCCATCCTGTGTCCCCAACACATACCCGAAGAACAAGCTTGCTGATGGGTGAATTGGAATCTACTTTGGTTGCCCTTCCATTGTCAAAGGCATCCAAATGCAGCCAGTGTGATGTCTGGCAAGCCTTAGACGTGGATCTGCTAAGTTTGATATGCTTTCATCTCACCCTTGATTTCCTTCCAGCCTCTTTCTTTTCAGCTCAGCATCCTCCAACTGTCCAGTGATGTTGGCAGTCCTCAGATCCCGTGGGCGGACGTCCTTTTCTTGTGCGTGGCAAGGTTTTGGGAGAAAAAGCTCACCAAAGAATGAAAAGATTGACCACCAATAATTACTTAGATGGAATGTATTCCCAGCAGTGTTCCACGGGGTGACATTCCACTCCCATATCAGTGTCTTTGGGAAGATTCCCTGCAACCTGTCGTTTAGGTGCACACACCGATGCAAGCACTGACACCCAAACCTGGATCATGAATTGGAAAATCCATGAAACTCCCACTCCCAGGCCAAAAACAAACAGAATCTCTCATCTGCATCCCTTCGCTTGTCACGCTACCTAGGACCCAACCTGTCCTCGGACCCAGTGTCTTGAAGTGCCAACCATCCATCTTTTCAAAACAGGTCACTTGTGAGTTCCAGGCGCTTGTTCTAACGGCACATCACAACACACTTCTCGCCGAGGCGCAGGTTGGGCTCGAGGAGTTCATCCTCAATCTCCTCCTCGCAGGCGGCGAAGGCAGAGCCCAGCTCCTCCGAACGAGCTCGCAGTGTGAAGGAACGAGGCTCCTTCCGGAAGCCCAGCAGATCCTTTGGAGACACTGCCTCCATCCGCCTCCAGCCCTTGGGGTTGAGAAGTAAACAGATTCGTCAATCATGCGTGATAAATCTACTGCATCTACTTGACTTGCCATGTAGGAAGGTTTCACATGGATTGTGTGTGTGGTTTCATGCGCAACTAACTTCCATGCGCTGTACATGGAGGCTTTGTGTGAACCAGAAACACTATAACATGTATACATAGGTATACTACATGCGTCGGGGTTTAGTCACCGCGGTTTGCAAAAAGTCACCCGGCCGCATGTAAACGCAGCATTTGTCAGAAGTCACCCGGTTTGCGAAAAGTCACCCGTTTTAAGTTAAAACACCAATCATATTGACATCTTGCACCTAAACCGAATGTAAACGCAGCATCCAAACAAATGTTGTTGACCTGACACTCTTCCAGTTATATTGCCATCTTGCATCTAACTCATCTATATAACCCCATTGTAAACGCAGCATCCAAACGACTTTCTACAAGACCAGACGACTTAACCCACGTACCCAGTATGTGCCCCACTTCCAAATGATGCATCTGCGCAAACAAGCATTGAAACCAGCTGAGTAAGAAATAATACCCTCCTCTGCGTACGCGCGTTGGTTGATGTTCCGTGTTCAACTCGCAGTACGTTCCTCCCAAAAGCAACCTTCTGGCCAAGATAAATTGTTCTTTTGGAAGAGTGAACTCCCACGATGCCTTCAAGAAGAAATAATTAACAATCAGGACTATTCAAGTCAGTTTGGAGCAGTTGGATCCCCGTATCCTAGCTGTGGATGATGTTTAACCCCCCTGAGGAAGAAAGGGATCGCCACCACCACCACCGCCACCCCGCCACCACCACCATGACAAACCCCGGGCACAAGAGATTCGACAAAAGAGCGCACCACTGGCACACCCGGCCTGATGCACCTGTGGTGCGGTCTTTAGCCGCTTAAAAGGCGCTTGCCACCCAAAGGCCAAGGACATGGTGCGGTGCTTCCACCGCCACGGAAAAGCGGCAGCTGTTGGGTGGCTTGAACATTGGAGCCGATGTGGGTGGATTGATTAAAACAGTTTGAAGCAAGGACACTCATGTCTACTTGCACTTAGATGCCTTAGCTTTAAGTCTTTCATCAACTGACGGCTGGGTTGATTCAACTGACGCAGTTTACGAGGGCGTCTCATTTGACTTCCGACACTTTTCTGGTATGGATGTTTCTTTGCCGTGTGCAGCATGTAGCTGAATTGAAAACTGCATTCTTGCGGTGTGTGTGTGTGTGTGTGTTTTTCGCCGGAACACCATGAGTTGTCTTGCCTAAGACAACTAAAGCCTTTACAGGAGATCCTTAAATGAACGGAAGGGTGTTTTCTTTAGTCAAAAGCGTTTGGGGTTCACCATCAAGTGAACAAATGCAAACATTTACTTAGAGGATTGGATGCTCACTGAGCCAATGTGGATGGTTTGTTGGAAAAATGTGCCAATGCCAATGCGCGTTTGGCCGGGCCTTCCATGCTGAGCTGAAGCTAACTGGCAGCAAAGTCAGTCCAGATTTAGACTCTATTAGCATGCGTTAGCATGTCAACGTTTGAAAGCAATGGCCGCTCGAAGAGAAACGAATGGATCTGACATAATTAGGCCACTCCTCACGAGTAGGTGTGCACGTTCAATCTCTGAAGGAAAAAAAACTGATCCCGTTTGAAGACCCCCAAGTGGGACCTGCTTTGGGAAGCTAAGGCACAAAGGCCCAAAATAACCTCGGCTTGGATGATCGACTCGAGCCTGAGACCCAACCCCACAACTTCACTTGGACACGGCGGTTCTCCAAGTGGCGGCTCTCCAATCATTCCAATCTTCCGTCTGTGAAAGCTTCATGCGAAGCACACGGCCATCAGCGAATATTTTTCTCATCCAGACCATCACAGGTCGCGCCAGACCATCGCACCGGTCGCAGGCGCTTGAAATCCATGAGCTCCGTGACGGCAACTTGCCAGGCTTTTGGAAGTAGGCAGGTCCTCATCCAGGTCAATTTGTTGGTCTTCTGAGTGATTCAGAAACAGCATGGAAAAATCCTGCATCAGTGCAAGAACCGTTGAACAATGTCAAACATCCACTTGAACATAAACAGGAACGGTTTATGCACAGCGTAGGCAGGTATCGTTCTTGGCCCCCAAGGCGGAGAAGTAGATTGAATTTCAGAGTCAGCTCCAATGAGATGCTGACTTCATGCCAAACCCCTACGACAAGCTGTGTCTTCTAAACTAGCAGTGGCTACAGCGGCTACAGTTTTCCCAGCGCATCTTAGAATGAGTGAACGCTTCAACCCAGACTACCAGCCGAGAAACAACACTAACAAAACCAACTCCTCTGTGCCTAAGCGCGAGATACCAAGTCATGCCAAACTGGAACGGAGATATGAAACAGGGCTTCATAAGTCCCAGGAAGTTCTAAAGGCTTCATGTTCAGCGGAGAGAAGCAACCCTGGAAGGTGGTTCGCACAGGAGTCCAACATGGCCGCAACATCCCCGGGCGTCGAGGAGCCCGCCGTTCGGCGGCCGCGCCTGGGGATCTGGGAAGGCGGGAAAATGGCGCAGCGAGAGCTCTCTGAGCTGCGTCGAACTACGAGGGCCGGTCATGGCCAGATGCCTCAGGGCCCGTTTTTGGGTGTTTCTGGCGGAATCTGGTGAAAATGAAGGCCGCAGCAAGCCTGCCGTTGCTAGAACCATGATGGTTCGCTGCATCCCGGTCGAGCCAATCGCTCGGTCCACCTTTGAGGGCCACCCAGTTGGTCAAGTTGACTGTTCCCTTCTGAAGCCCCAAAAAAAGGTGGGCTTGTCTGGTTGTCTGAGTCTGGTCCCATTCTACGGACATCCCCAGGAAGTCAGGAACTCATTCAGCATCATTCAGCTGCATCCGAACGGATTTCATGCGTCAAGCTAAACAATGTCTGCAGGACGGAGCTTTCCTCAAAACCTTTTGGAACTCATACAGCTCTTCACACCTACCCCAAGCTCTCGAATATGGATGTGGGTCGAAACCCTGATCAACCATGATCAACCTAGAATACATGCATTACTGCATGACTAACTGGAATGTCGAAAAATGTCGTAATATGTTTCCCAGAGAATCCCCAGACTCTTACATTCTTACCCCACCTAGTCATAGTCCACAACAAAGAGATACGATGGATCGTGTTCAATCTCCTACTCGCCAATTGTTCGAGGAACCTCCGACTGAACTCCAAAGCGTGGAAGCGTAGCCACTTTCCTCCGATTCGGACCTCCTGACCCTTGGCAACGACCAACCCTCATACGCGGATTTGCCAAAAGCATAAGCCTATATATCAGCTTTTGGTACAAAGGATCGAGATCCTTCAGCAAATCCAAGCATATCTACACTACAAATGCCCCAGCTGCGTTTAGCAGTTAAGGAAGGTTGGCAGCGAGTCATTCGCTCGGTCTCGAGCGATCAAAAGTCGCGATCAGCTGAGTCAAACGTCCAAATCGCCCCGAACCAAAGCCCAAGATCTTCCCTGAATCACTTGTAAATAAGATTTTCTGTAAAACATGGTATTTTCGGTAAAACAGAAAAAACCCAGAACTGGACTAAAACCTGAATTTTCCGCCCCAGGGCGGTGAGTGGCACTCGAAAAAGAACTAGCCGCCCTAGCCGCTAGAAAAACGGAAGTGGAGATATGAATTGTTTGATTTGGAAAAAACTAATAACCTGTTCTCGAAAAAAAAATAAAAAAGGATGGAAGTCGAAAACGGCGTGGTTTGTAAATAAAAGCAGTGTTCTTGAAGGGGCCATGTGTCACTTCCATGTTTGTTGGAAGGAGGGTGCTTGTTCTCTACAAAGTGTTTCCTCCGCTTCCACGTGTGGTTCTTCCAGTATATGTGATGTGTCCACTGCCGATTGAATCATTCCACTAGATGTTGGTTCGACGTCCCAAAAATATGGACTCTCATGGAATGCTTGCCAATCCCATGTTTTGGGGCGTTTAGTTTTAACCAGCATCCATCTATTCCCAAGTCATGGATTTGTTCTTTTCAATTGAAATATCAGGGCGGTTTGGATCCTTTCTATCACATCTCTTGTATCACCAACAACCCAAAGCAACAGCTCTGGCACAACAATAAACAGGGCCCAAAAACAGACAGACTAACACTGATTTGTGGTTTTGTGTTTAATCTTCACTTTAAAACTGAGCTTTTCATTGCTCAGTCCAGAGGGTTTCGTGGTCCTGCCGCGAACTCTGCCATCGATGCTTAGCAATTGTCTCTATCAGCAAAGTTGAGCCCCATCAAGGAGTTGTTGTTCATGTGTCGTCCCAAGAATTTCCTTTTGCAAGAAATCGGTTGATCCTGCAAGAACATTGTTCCATGTTACCCAATGTCACTTTTGGCTCCCCTCGCTTGTCGGCGGAGGACCGGCAAGACCCACTGGCACGCGACGCGTTCACCTGACCAAGGAGGGCACTCCGGCGAAGTGAGGAATGAATGGGGGAAACCAGGATTCCAACAGTCCAATGAACATAAGTGATGTTACTAGTTATCATTCACGAAGGCCGTTCCCAGCACAATCTCTCCTAGATAAACCACAGTTTCAAGGTCATGCAGTCTGCAACATCTGCAATTCGACCTAGCCCGGCGGCTTGAGCAACAACCTCGATGTTTTTTGATTCGTGCTGCATCATATTGACGTTTCACTAATCCGCCGGCCTGCCAGGGTGTCTTGTGGATGTTTTTGTACTTGTCTTTTTGTTTGCTATTGTCTAAGATGTTTTTTGTTTATGCTAATCCGTGCGGAGTTTTGCGTCGACTAACTTCACCCCCCTGGCCCCCTGTCACCCCCTCGTCTTCGTAGTCGTCTTCGTACTCGTCTTCATCGTCGTCGTCGTCGTCGTCATTCTGCAGGTTCGTCGCCTGTGATTTGCCTGGGTTTCGCCGATTCGCAGCATTTTTTCATGGCTTCAACGGCATTTGAGTCACGGTTTGCACCAACCACCGTGTACATCAAGCCGCGGTTTACACCAACCACCGTTCACACCAAACCACGGTTTACACCAACCATCATTTACGCCAAGCCACCGTTTACACCAAACAACATTACACCAAACCACGTAGCTTGACAAATCGCTCCAAGACTGGGTGTCCCGTTTGCGGTCCCAGTCAAAAGCGCGTGAACACCTTGACGTGGCAAAGCAATTTGCGCTCTATAGCTTTTAACCATCAAAGCCTCAGGCTCCGGCACGGCCGTGTTGCCATGCGTCGCGTGCGCCAAGAATCCTGTCCTGCCAGAAGCAAAAATTCACCCATGTAATGTTGTCACACAATTGCTGCGCACAAGCACAGCACCCCACCAAAAAAATTGTATTATATAAATCCTTCCACATGAACTGTAGCGCGCCTTGTTGCTCAGCAATTCTGGAGCGTGGCAAGCCTCAAAAGGAAGTGACCGTGAAAACACCAAATCTCACTCTCTGGCGTCCATCCCAGCCTTCCACCGCTTCCCCCAGCTGAGGTTTTTCCGCTGGCTAGGCGGACAAACCTCGGAGGGTTTCACGAGGCCTGGCGCATGCTTGCGCATGAACGCAGCGTGCATGTTGGGCCTGGCAGCGGCTGCGACAGCAATGGGATGGACGGTTGACTGAATCGAGTCAATGGCGCCCGGCGTGGAATGTCTGGAAAATACAGTGGTGCAGAGGTTGGAAGAGAGGGTTATTATCTTGACCTGGTGACCCCCTCCAAGACCCCAAGAAGAACGAAACGTGCAAATTTGAACAAAGCCTCTTTCGGTTCCCACAGTGATGTGGCACAGGTTTCGATGACTGCTTTTGTCCGGGCAGTTGACGCTCGCTTTCGCTTGGTTCCACCTGTGCCTTGACGGATTTCTGCTGCCATGCGTGGGACATTCACGTTCAGTAGACTTGCAATACGCGTCAACAACCTGAGTATCGAACTCACAGTCGGGTTCTGGAATGAGGATGCTGTGGGTCCAATCCAAAAGTGCTAAGAGCTCCTAGCGACAGCTTGTGTTTTTT